TCCGACTCTGGCTGGCTGGCTGGTTTTGACACCTTCATCTGTTCCACCTGTAGTTGAAATAATGCTGGCTGTCTAGATCAATGAAGCCAGTAACCTCTTTCACATTTCTTCCATTCATAGTGACAGGTCCTGGTCAGTTATTTACATCACCTCCGTCTTCTCTATGCTTACATGAAGTCCTGTTCCTACTCGAAACTCATGAAAGATTTAAACAAGTTAATTTTATATTAAAGCCTACCCAGAAGCAATATTGTCTCGAAGCAGGACAACGAAAGCTTCGCGATTGTTATTATTATTATTATCATTATTGTTCCCTTGGGTTCCCGGTGGAACATAGGCCTTCAACTGCACGTCTCCACTTGCTTCTGTCTTCTGCTGTACTTTTCACCTGCATCCATGTTAGTTAATCCATACTGTTTCAACTCTACACATGATCGCCTCCATGTCACCCTTGCACTGACGACCCACTCGCCGCTTCTCTTTCGGGTTCCACTCGAGCAATGGCCTGAGGTGCGCGCGATGTCACCCAGCCACCCGGCCTCCTCAGCGAGTGTCCAATCCATCCCCACTTTCTCCTGCATATTTATTGGGCAATGGGTTCTTGTTTGGTTTGCTGCCAAAGTTTCTTCGTGGTGATTCTTTCCGGCCCGGCCATCTGATCTTCAGTATAGAGCGAAGACAGTTTTTGATAAAGGTCTGCAATAGCCTGTTGGAAATATCCTTTGTGACCCGCCCGCCAAGTTTCTTATCAATACCGTATAAATGAACTGACTGACGACGTTTGTATTGTGAATCCGAAGGAATTTTACTGTTGATGCTGAGTGACGAAGATTTCCAGATTGGTTTCAGGTTGATGAATGTGTTTCTCGCCTTCCCGATTCCCGATTTGACATCCTCATCCGTTCCGACTGCGTGTAGTTGAGGTAATGCTCCCTAGATAAGTGAATGAAGTGACCTCTTTCAAATCCCTCCCGTTGATGGTGATTGGCGCTGGATAATGCTGTTGTTGTTGGTTGGTTGGTTATTTTCATAACCTCTGTCTTGTCTATGTTCACCTGGAGTCCTGTCTTCGCCGGCTGCTTCTTCGAATAGTTTATCGGTCGGTTTTCGCTTGTAAGTCTTCGATTTTGTGACAGTGACATCAAACATAAATCATCCACGCGCGAAATCCAGGTCTTATAGGTTCTCCACGTCGGTCCAGGATATCTCTGTCTTCTCGTTTCGCACTTTCTGACGCATAATCCAGTCAGTTCACCACAATTAGGAATATCATTGGTGATAATAGGCAGGCAGCATTGTCTGACTCCTGTGTTTACTCCAAACGCCTCGCTGAGTTTTCCGTTGTGGATCACTTGACATGTGGCGTACATGTGTCGTACAGCTGTTGAATAAGGTTGATGAATATTTTGGGTAGGCCGTAGTACTCGAGTAGTTTCCAAATTATTTCCCGGTCAACCCTGTCTGTCGAAGGCCTTCTCAAAGTCTATAAAGTTGAGATATAGGTTTGATTGCCATTCCATGCTTTGTTCTGTAATGATGATGAGTAGAGTTGCAATTTGGTCAGAACATGGTTTGCCTTTCCTGAATCCAGCTTGTTCTGGTCGGAGTTCTGTATCCAGTTCGTCCTTTATTCTCTCCAGGCTGATGCGACTCAGGATTTTATTTAGCGTCGACAGGAGCATCATTCCTCGCCAGCTTTGCAGAGTCCAAAGCTTCGCAATTAAACCAACCAATTTAAAGAAAACAACCTAATCGAAATCATCCAGCTGAGCTAAAAATCTTCTCTATTATTTCAATAAAGTCACTAATATCCGGGAAAATACCTAGATTGGATATAATAATAACCTATCAAAAGAATTAAATGCAGATCTATCAGACGTCAACGAATGTCCTCATACTACTTAGTACTACTGTGACATTTTACTAAATAGATACAGACTGAAAGGAAGAGAAGGATCACATCATCTCTGAGAAGAACATTCTTTGCAGCAACGCTAAGAATAGTGTTCTCCAGTTGCCCATTGATCTGCAGACCTCTTGAGGATAATACCCTGCATCTGACCACTTATATATGCATATACTAGTTAACCTGCTGCTATGGAGCCAGGTACATCGGTCGTTCAACGCGCACCCTGTCCAACAGGATTCAAGAACACTATTCAGCCAGCATGGCTGAGAAAAGGCAATAGTGGTGCGATTAGGAGTGAGATAATTGAACACCCGGTTAACACTAATCATTCCATTTCAACAAACACCTCCTGCTTCAAAGTAATCTACAGAGTCAAGAATACCCTACCGAAGGCAATACGGTTGCGTCTTCTTTATATCACTGAAGTTCTGGCCATTCACATAGAAAAATTGGAGCTGTGCATACAAAAGAAGATTACTCAACTACTTCTACTGTCAAGGTAGCAACTTTGTTGATTTTGATGACTTAATTTTGTTTCTTTACCTGTTCTCGAATTGCTTAGAATTCTTGTATTCATTAAGAACTCTTACGTGATTTCATATTATCTACTTTGTTTCTGTAGTAATTTATTGTAATCGTAATATTAGTATTTCGAGATGACCGAATTACAAGAATCCAAAAAAAAACAGAGAGGGCAGAATTCAGGAATTTGTATTTAGCGGAATTCTTATGCAATTCATATAAGAAACATATTAACAACCAACAGTAAGTATTTAAACAATACAGAGATAGAAATTGTCAATCACCACATCCGCCACACGTCGAATATCTCCTTGCGTATTTATAACGATGTCTCGGTTTGCTTGCAAGTAGCTGCGACCTTCTAACTGATTCTGTGATATTATTTTCATCAGTATTATCTGGACTTATTTCTGAATTATCTACAAAATCAGGATTATTAGCGGAATCAATAATATTATAATTGGAACGACCTACTTCATTTATTGTCACTTTGTCCAGGTGTCTGTTATGAACTGAGTGATCTTTGATGTCTAATATCTTCACCACTCGATTTCCCATTTTTTGTAGTATAATTCCAACAGAAGGTCTATAGTCATTCCCTTTGTAATAATGTACATTAGAAGTCGTGGACATCAGATGCTTTTTGAGAATTCGAGATTTGAAAAGTTTTGCAGGACTTTCACGGGTACTTGTATGCTCTGCATTCAACAGACGCAGTCTATGCATATGCAGCAATTCCTCCATTTTAATCAGTTGCTCTCTCATCTCATTCAGTTTTTCGTGTTTTCGACAGTTCGCATTGTAACTCAGCTACCTCATTTTTGAAAACAGTTGACGCTTGAGTTGCTGAACTTGTAGTGGAGGTTTTCATTGGATTAGCTTGAGTATTTTGAAAGGTTGAAAGACACATTGACTCCATTTTACTAGACAGCTTGGGAGAATTATAAGAATGTTGAGCAACATAAGTATTCGAACTTCTGCAAACAGTCTTGATGTGTCCAACTTTACCACATTTGTAACACTTAGCACCCGAAAACGGCAAGTGCTTCGTAGATGTAACTTTCCACAGGATAAACACGGTTTAATGTTTTTGATCTCTCGCTGCATTCTATTACCTGTGGACGACAGTTTGGATTGCTTTCCATGAACACTTGTATTTTCGACTTTGGACAACATGACATCAGATACTGACGTAGTGGGAGCAGAGTATTCATTATTGACATCTTCATATGTAATACATAAATCTTTAGCAGTTTGAAAGGTACAAGAAGGAATCTGAATTAACTCTTTCTCTAACTTAGGAATATTGATTCCAGCAATTAGACGATCACGTAGTTGAGTATGCAGCTGATCTCCAAAGTTACACTTTGAAGCTTGTATTTGGAGTTGCAGAATAAAGTCTCTAATCTCTGGTTGGGAGCACGAACCAGTTTATGGAATTGAGCCCTCTCTCTGGTCTCAAAAGTAGTTATATGAAAGTGATTTATCAGAAGTTCACGAATCTTGACATATGACAGAGAAATAGGTTTATCTGGAAATGACAGAGTCTTTACTAGGCTATACGCATCTAGCCCAATAGCAGTGATGAAATGTGCTGGTATTTTGTCATCCCGAACATTCTTTGAAATGCACCACGCATCGAAGCATTCCAAATAATCAGCAATCTCCCGCGGAGTACCATTTATGGGAAATTTTCCCAGGTTATTTAGTTCCATCGCGACGCCAATTTGTAGTAATTTATTGTACTTGGAATATTAGTATTTCGAGATGACCGAATTACAAGAATCCAAACAAAACACAGAGAGGGCAGAACTCAGGAATTTGTATTTAGCGGAATTCTTATGCAATTCATATAAGAAACATATTAACAACCAACAGTAAGTATTTAAACAATACAGAGATAGAAATTGTCAATCACCACAGTTTCCATGTGCATCCTGAGTAAAACTCACTCATCAAACTATTAATATTATTATAACATAACTTCTTTTAACAACTGTTTGTGACAACTCATCACCTTTCTTACTATCCTAATCTCATTAACACCTAATTTTCTTGACTTGTATTACCAATCTTCACCTGTTCAGTTAAAATAACCATAACCAATTTTAATTTTGTTTGACAAACTTAATGTACGCATACATTCAAAATAACACACATATATATATTTGCGATTTTACAGCTGAGAAAATGAATTCGCCGCTGGCGAAAAGAGACTCTTCTCTGATCTACGTGTTTTGTTTTCGTTAATGATAGGAAGAGGTCAAAAATTGAAATCCACATTTTATTTCACATTCTGAATTTAACTTACTTACTTACATTGTGGTCTGGAAATAATCTCATTGGACAACTTTTCGTCGCCCTTTTTCTAACTAACCTTGGACAAATTATCAGCCAATCAAAACTGTTTATTATTCCACTGTTGTTGACGTCTTTTAATATTGGTTAAAAATGTAAAAAATCGTCTGTTACCACTTCTCTTAGCTTGTCTTTTACCGCTATACTATTCCTACTAAAATTACTAATATTTTAACTAATGGATAAACTACACACACACACACAGCAATTTTGTATTTCACTATTGATTTTTCTATCGTTTAACTTCGATTATTCCACTCTATTATCATTATTACTAATAATTAACAATGAATACAACATTGTATGCGGAATATACTTATGAGGATATTAATTACCAGTGTTTAACATTCCAGGAAATGATATATGATAATCTACTGAATCATTCGAATGTAGACGAAAAGTTAACTATCCTATCAGCTGGTCTAGCATCGATAACACTGCCAACTTGTATTGTCTATGCATTAGTTGGAAATGTAATCATTCTCATTTTATTATGTCTAAATGTTAAACGACCAAATCATATGGAAATATATGGTTACATATTAGTTGTATTCGATATGTTATTTGTAATTGTATCATGTGTCTATTATATACCAACGTATTTTGGATGGTGGAGTTTGTACCTTACACCTTTCCACTTAATAAGTCATATAGGCTGTAAACTAATCTTTGGCTTTATGGATCTATTCTCAGCGATTCGTATGAATCTTCTCCTATATATGATTATTCTATGCCTGAGAAAACCACAGTATTATTATTACTATTCAAAAGTGTATACTTATCTACGCTTAATATCCAGATTAATTATTATCCTAGCTATTAGTTTAATACAAGCTATACCAACATTTATAATATACAGCGTATGGATACATGAGAATGTCTGTTTATGTCTACCACATCCGAAATGGTCTTATACCTATCATAAATTCTATTATATACATAAAAGCTTATACTTGGAAGGCTTAATTCAATCATTTATTTCACTAATTTTAAGTATCCCTCTTTGGTATAAATATAATCTAGATAAACAAACTTATTTATATTTAAATAATCAATGTACATCACATAGTCTCTTGACTAAAATATTGATTAGTTTAAAATTAGAAATACAAGGTCATCGACAAAATGAACAATTCTTACTTATTCAAATATTTACAATATGCCTAGTAAAAATGTTACATAGTCTATGCAGTCTAGCCTATTCAATGCAAAAAGCAGATTTAATCAATACTTCAACAGCAGTAGCCAATCCAAGTATTTATATGCTAACATTATTTAGTAAGTATGATTTATTAATTATATTAGAAATTATACTTATCAGTAGTTCTTCTGTTGTCTGGTATATAACATCTTATGAAATTCAATTATTTTGTAAATATTTACAAATGAAATTATTTTCTACACGGAAAAAGAGTGGTGGTCATAGTAGAGTAGCATTTCCATCGTTAGCCTCACAATATTATCCGTATTTATGCCAAAAAAGGCGCTTATTTCATTCATATTTTCATTATCAACAACAAAAGTCTCCTGCATATCAATCACACAGAGAATTATCAATTCGTGCACAGAAAAAAATTGTTCAACAATTAGATGATTTAAAAGAACACTTATTAAAAATACATGCAAAAGATTTAAAGGATACAAATGTTTGGAAACGTTATATGATACAAAGAAATTATTATATGCAGCATTTGCATAAACTGCATGATGATGAAGAACAAACCTTGAATGAATTAGCTATCAGTTTAGATTTAGACCCAACGAATCCATTGTGTTTAAATTCACTTGAAATAGATGATCCTGTTGATGATGAAGAAGATGGTGAAAAAGGTCAAGAAGACGAAGGAGGCGAAAGAGGCGAAGGAGAAGTAGAAGAGAAACGATCAGAAGGTAAACAGCTGACGACAGATCAGCGTATATCAAATAAATTGGTTGATAATGATAAAAATAGTAATTAAAGCTGTTAATTGTGTAAATTTCGGAGGAGGATGATTGTAGTCGAAAAAAAATGTAAATTAGAATGCTACAGCTCAAAATAATAATTTTTAAAAGAAAAAAAGTAGAAACAGATTAGATGTTATTACGCGATTGTTCATTTTATCCAATGTAATTAATTCTTTGTTGGCATAAGATGGTTGGATAAAATTGGCCAAAGGAAATCTTGCCGGCTCCTAGGTTTCGTGCCAGTCAGCACTCACCTTGAAGGAATTCATCTCCCTTTTGAGATCCTGGTGCTGCAGCCAGAGATGTTATCTCCTGTTGAACTGTACTGGATACTTTTTATTGGACATGAGTTAATAACTAGCGTAGTGTGTCTAGTTCTTTGTTTGGGGTAGACTGAATTCTATCCATCAATTAATCATTATTAATTAATTATTAATTAATTTACTATTATTATTATTCGACTGAGTTCCGAGGGGAACACAAGGCTTTAGTAGCACATCTGCATTTCATTCCATGCTCTGAAGTCGTTTTTGTTTCGTTGACTTCACGATTATCCATGAGCTTTCACCTCTCCCTCATATTGTGGTGAGAGCTAGCTGCTAGCGAAAATTGGTAGGCAGTAATTTACGTCAATGTTTACGTCCTCAATATTGGTCGTGAGAAAAATGGCTGATTCAACAACCAACCACAGCAGACTTTGCGTAGGCGGATACAGTTGGCAGATAGATAGATGATCTGATCTTCAAGAAACAGTCACAAAGGGAAACAACCAGTCAGAAGACAGTGTTTTTCTGATAACAATTATCTATAATAAAGTACATGAAAATATATAAATATGTGTTGATTTCCTTAATAAACGATGTGTTGCCTTGCCCTTGTCTTCTGCTGTTACAATACGATCTCCTGCATATCATCTTTGGAAGACTCTGAAGCCTATTCAAAATGCTTTTGATGATAGAGTATCGAGTCTCTGAACCTTACAGAAGAAGTGATTCGATATTAACGTTGAAAATTTGATTTATGAAGGTTCTTCCTGCCATTCCGACTACATGGCCTTGACATCCTAATACATGTCGACCTCTGGAGTTCAAGAAGACGTAATTTATCTAAAACCTGTTGTAGATTTCTCCTCAGAAATCTGGAACGACAGCTGAAACAATCAAAATTTCGATTGAATTAGGCCAAATGTTTGAGTTACGCATAAAATCTAAGACACACTAGCTTTGTCTAAAATACAACACTATTTTGCATGCAGAATTGAGATAAATTTCAATAGAAATAGTTTCGAATTAACGACTTACTAAGTGAATTATAAATGTATACTACTTCCTAATGATAAGTAGTATAATAGTGTTGAGTGCAAAAAGAACAATACAATTTGAAATGTAAATTAGAGAGAAAAGGACAAGAAGTTCAGTAAGGCTATCTTTTCAGAAGAAGTCATTAACCTAACTAGTCAGGCTATCTTCATTCCTTACTGAAGACCAGATGGCGAACCAGAGAGGATAAGTATTGAGAAACTATGTTAAAGAACAAAACAAGAACTTGTCGACCAATTAACTATGGAGAAGGAACTCGGGATGCACAGATTAAACGCACCCTGATGTGACCATCCACCTGGCTAGTAATTTAAGTGTTGGGCATGAGTCCGACAGTGACATGGTGGAGATCGTGTGAGGAGGGCTACGAGAAGATGAAAGCTTATGGACAATGATGGAGATATGTGCAAAGAGTTGTAGAGAACACAGTGAAATAGTCGTATGCTGCTAAACTCAACTCAGAACTCTCTAGAAGTATATCAATATCAAGAATACTTACCAGTAATATTTTAATTTTGATTATTTCCCTGAAGAAGTTCAAACCAACCTGTGCGTCGGTGGTACAGTGGTTAGGACTTTCGCCAACCATGCACATGGTCCGAGGTTCGAGCTTCTGCCGACGCACACTTGATATCTATGGTCGGCCTGCAAAATTTGGGCTACCGATATCCATGCCGAAAATTCCATACTTGTAGCAAAAGTATACTGTGGAACCAAGGTGTAATCAAAAGTAAGTAAAAGTACCTAAATATAAATAAATAAATGGTAGGAGTATTTCACCGTGAGATGTCATCAGTTAGCGAACTGGTAGTACAGAGCAGAAGTAAGAAATCATGGATTGGTCATTAGGTCGGTCCCAATAGCTCTTAACGGTCTACTACCTCGCCTTGTAACTGGAAAGTCCGGGATTCAAACACCGAGTGGCTGAGGACTGCTGAAGAGGCCAAAACTGGGACGAAACAGTTGGCTTTCCAGTACTGTCAGGTTTACCATAGGTTCTTTAACTGATGTCAGCTCATGATGAGATCCTTCAACCAATCAAACAAACACCCTACAAGGCCAATACTTGAAAATACTGGGATTATTCACTTCAGGTTCTCTGGGGTTTCTGCAAACCTGATTTTGAAATTTATCTTCTTTGTCTACAAATAAGTTTTATTACTTGAATGCTAGTCATTGTTAAAACCATTACATGATATTACAAAATACTCCTACAGCCTCTACTTCACGAAATGTGTCATCTATATTGTCTAGTTGTAACGGCTATATTCCAAAGAATAATTCTTTGTCGTGTATGTTGTACGTGGATGCAACTTAAGCAAGCTTTTGTTACATTTATGAAAGTAACAACTAAATTGTTCATTATTTCTTTGAAAGGAATCCAACACATCCTATCGGGTTGATTCAAGTAAGAAAGACCCATCTGACCCTATGGAATATAAGTTTGTGAGGTATAGTATAGTAAGCTTAGGATGCTTAAAAAACCAACCTTGCAACAATTCTCAGCAAAATCTAACCAACGCGTCAATAATGTCTTTTCACGGTAAATGAATATTTTATCTACTTGAAGTAAACCCAGTATGTACTGAAATAACCCTGGTCCTTCTTAAAAAGCTACTATATTTGGGTCTCGCCTACTCAGAAACATCCTGCCTCACCCCCACCCCCCGTACGATAATTATAGGAAATTTTCCCTGACAGTATACTTACTTTCGAGTACCAAATACAGCTGACTGTTTTTGGATGCTGCTCGGACAGATTTGAGTAATTTCTTACTGCAATATGAGAATTGTTTCGGAAATTAACACATTATTTACAATATTCATTCTCTGAAACACATAGTAGATGACGTCAAGCTGCATGGGCCATTAGAAGGATTCAGTGAATTTCCCTTTGAATCCTATGTGAGCAAGATCAGACAGTCCGTGCACTGTGGATATGCTGTGGCTAAGCAGGCAGCTCAGCGTTATGTTGAGCACGTGTACTTAATGAAAAGTACAGGTGTCAAGCATGTACCTAAAGAAGCTAGTAATAAGGGCAATAAGTTTAGCAAAGGAAAGTTAACTTATCTGAACACCATACTTACTTCTTATTCTCCGGACAATATAATCTTGGCCTCAGGTAAACCAGAGAATATAGCTGAAATAGAAAGTGAAGATAGGATACGCTTTCTACCCTACTGTGATTTTAGTGATGATTTTACTACACCATTTAAATCAAGGAATTTAGGGATATTCAGATGTTCGAAATTCAGTCATGAAACACACTGGATATCCTATCTGAATATTGTTTGCAAGTGTTTGTGAGTTGGCATATTTAATTATCACTTCTTGTACACTGCTAAAATGGCTGCCTGCCTTCAGAGAGATCTGAAGTTTTCACTTAAAGTCATGATGCACAATGTTCTAAAACCTGAAGTGGGTTTGAAGTTCACATTCCAAGGGACTTTGACAAAGTCCAGCATTGTGCCTTATGTCTTTTGTAAAGTAATAAGATTTAAGGTTCATTAGTGAACTACTTATTTCTGTAGCTGTAATTATGGCGCAGTTCTTCGGCCAACTGATGACATCAAGAGAGGTTGGTGACATATAGGATAAGGCGACGAAATCGTAGTTTCATAATTTGAAAGATCGTGTCCAAAGGCGTAACCTGAAGATAGGAATTCAGATAATATTGCTAAACGTCCGCTTCCTTTTATGAGTCAACGTTAAGTCAGCATGTAGTAATCACAACATTGTTTTTAAAGCAATTAGTTCCCTTTATGAATTTCGACAACACAATAAGAAGACGTAGTTTATCTGAAACGTGTAATGTGTATTTGCGCAACACATTTTGGACATTCTGATCACACACGTAGGTGCTTGTCATACACAGTTTTTATAGAAGGCTAGAAGGCATGAATAATTACAATACAGGTTAGATCGTGTACAGGTCAAGGTCACAAAAAATGGGTAGGAAGATGACACAAACGTGTGAGGAAGAAAGATAAAAGGAGAGAAAAAAAGCAAAGCAATGAAGGGGTCTTATATATATTATGAAGTAAATTGATCCTTGGTTCTAAATTGGATTACCAAGGCAGGTTTAAGGTGATAACTTATGGACGCATAAGACAGGTTTAGGTCTTTTTTGGCCAAGGCTTCAATGAATTTAAGTATGTGGCCCATCCTTATTTTATATATGGGCTTAAAGGCATTGTTAAAGTCAGCCTTATGACCCATCTCTATAATGTGTTTCGCTATAGACGATGTTGGACATCTACTTCCAGGGTCAGTGTTGTCTGGCGATTTTATTTGTTGTTGCAGCCACTTCAGAATATGTTCTGTAGCCCTAACATGCAGAGACCGATGGGTCCTCCCTATGTACGTGTCTTCACACATACATGTAAATTGATAAACACAGTGGGATGTGACACTATCGTTCGGATAATGTGAGGGTTTACAGGAAAGCACAGTTCTCGTTTTCTCTGTGAAGATAAGTGTGGCTGCATAATAGGTTCTATTAATTGCGGCCTTAAGTCTTTGTCTAGTGACTAGACTTTGTTGATCACCTCTGAACGACAAGGATATGTTAACATCCATTTTGGAAACTGATTGGATTGGTAAAGCTATGTGGTTGACACTTCCGTAACGTCTAATAAATCTCAGTGGGTAATTGTTATCTAACAATATTTCAGTGAGGTGTTGTCTTTCTCCTTC